GTTGAAAGAGTACTAACCAAACACTGGATAAGTGAAAATGAAAGACTTCGAATAAAATTAATTAAAATGATCTTGTCCATTAGTTTTATTTACTAAACCGATATTGAAACCAAAAAAGGTAGTGCAGTTTATGTACCTACGTAATAACTTACAATAGAAATAATACACTAGAAATAATTTTCATATCTTTAATACTCATTAACAAGAAGTGAGGTTTTAAATAAACTTCAACCATAAAAAAAGGAAATAAAAATAGTTTTCCACTTTAAAACTTAAAATTCTTGCAAATCCTACAATTAAACATTAACCGATATCAATATATATATATATATATATATATACTTTTTTTTATAATACTTTGTCTGTTGAGATGAAAATAGACACACAATTATATATTCATAAAATATCTTTCATGGACTATTAATTTAAATAAACACTATCTCATACAACTGAACATGAATACATGAAGTCATCAATCCGATGTGACTTGCAGATGTCATTCCAGTTCGCAAGCGAATATTTTATCAAGGACCTGGACTGATATTCCATTCACTGGTAAACGTGATGCAACGGCCTCTCACATTCCGTGAAATTAGTTCATATTTCCTAAAGAATAAAATCCGTTGTTTAATGACATCCCTTAATTGTTAGCTAAAGCGAAGGATTTTTTTTCAAATTACAACCCTCTCAGTTTTCAATGATATACTCAATAACAATTACTTAAACAAGAAACCTACTTGGTTATTAGTCGGATGATTGTTTCATTATGTGTTTTTTTTATTGTATAATTAATTGTATTTAACATGCCAACATTTTTTTTAAATCCTGTACTTATTCGGAATTAATTGATTCATAAACAGCATAAAATTTCAAAACCTATAAATTTTTTTTATCCATCTATCCAGAACCGCAATCACTAAACATTGTACATTAATTGGATGTTATGAAATATCATAGCATCAATGATTACTCGCTTATTAAATCGGAATCCTTTCTAAACCTGACTCCTAAAAAAAAATAAGTGAATGCGTCAATTTTTTTTGTTTTTAAATTAACAGATGACCATCATAAAAATCTTTAATTCATGTTTCAGAATCTATCATTGTACCAAATTCAATTCACAGAAACATACTAATGAAAAATAAATAAATTAATAAATGTTTAGGTTATATTTGTTCCTCTATTTTTTTATTTTTCTCACCTCATTACATTGAAAATGACAACAGCCGCAACTTTACCAATGTAAATAAGAAAAAATAAAAAAATGGTGAAACAAATATAGCCTAAACATTTTATTATAAATCTAATTTTTCCTTAAAGTAATATATAGGTACTGAAATAAATAAATTCTTAATAGTCTTATACTAAACTCAAATTCAACAATATAACAATTATAATATTTTTCTTATTAGTTATTTTACATATTAATATTTAAATAGTTATATAACATAATATATATATATTTCATCTATGGTTCAGTAAAAACTTTAAAATTGCTGAAGCCTTATATATCACATAATATGAATTTGGAATTTTCATTAATTTAAAAAATAGAATATTTTGACTATGTACAGATAACTCGATCAAATTGCATATTTTTAGTCTGGAATTCGTTTCGAAAAATGCTTAAGTTTTTATTACAAATTTTTATAGCCATTCAATCCTATTTTAATTACACGATAGATAGTTAAATTAATGAAGATAAACAATTTAGGTATTCATGAATTTTATCTTGTTAATTTGATGATTTATTTCTTAGGTATATATAATTATTTTTTACGTTTATGATTTTAATTTTACTACTATAAATCTTTCTTTCAATCGCCTATATATGAAATATATTGTAAGGGTATGTATTCCGAGAGTAAAATATTTTTATTTTACTCTAATATTTTATTAGAATTTCAGTTCTGCATTTCTGTTAATACATTTTTACGCCCTTGGTGTCCAAATAACCAATTCTTGTGAAATGATGTGTGTGTTTATGTAGATTTAAAAATAGTCGAGATTATGCAATTAACTTAAGGTAGAAGTTAACATACCTGATATGTTACAACAAGTGTTTAACTAAAGTTGCCTTACCGAAAGTACCAATTTATATTACCTCTTTTATTCATTTTTACAATTTTTTCAAAAATTAACGTAACAATTGAACAATATATTATTACAAATATAAAATTATTTTTGTAATATCATAAGAGTAATCATGTTTGTTAAACAAAGATAGGCTCTATTTATATGGAGTTCTTTCTCCTGGCAACAAATAAATAAAGAATATATATATATATATATATATATATATATATATATATATATATATATATATATATATATATATATTATATTATTACAAATATAAAATTATTTTTGTAATATCATAAGAGTAATCATGTTTGTTAAACAAAGATAGGCTCTATTTATATGGAGTTCTTTCTCCTGGCAACAAATAAATAAAGAATATATATATATATATATATATATATATATATATATATATATATATATATAACAATCTTGATTGGACTCGTTATATCAATAACCAAACCAACTTCATTTAATTCAATAAGTGAACTGAAAACTAAAATGATTCAATCTTAATATACCCAATATAATAAATGATTTCGATGTTAACTTTATATATGTTATAGGTAACAATTCGTAAAAGGGTTGAAGACTGTCATGTCTAGGTGAGCGAACATTTCTTAATTTTTTTTATTATTTTAATGGAATTTACAACTGTATTACATAGAAAATACAATAAGTAAATGTAAAATTGGTAACATGACATGTACAACATGAAGGGAAACTACCCTTAGGTAGAACTCAAATTAATGTTCTATATTAGAAGATCCCAAGGCCATCTTCTTTTCAGATGCCTCGGAGAGTTATCAGGGATCGAGGAGGAAGCAAGGTTTGAAACGAGAGGATTCGGATGGTTCTGCAGTTTGTTACGGAAGGATAGGTATCTGGATTGGGCCAAATCGGGAACATATGGAACATTAAGGTCTTTATGGATGATTTTATTTGTGAGAAAGTAAGGAGCGTTGAGGATTTTACGAAGGATTTTGGATTGTAAGGATTGGATACGAGAGGAATTCGATGGTTTAATGGAGCCCCAAAGCTCAATTCCGTAAGTCCAAATAGGTTTTATTATTGTCATATGAGTCGTTTATAATTGATTGAAAGCTTAGAGCGTTTGTCTAGTAAGTGCTGCAGTAGTATTTTTAATTTAAATACATTTTTACTTGTGGCTGTAAACAACAACGATATTTTCTTATAAAGTGTCTTATAATATTCATAGTGTCTTATCAAATCTATTTTTTTATTTTAATTCATATATCCTGGAAAGGTAATTCTTTTTTCTGTCTTATGTTTTAAAATGAAAACTATTTTTACTAATTATAATAATTTATGTTGTGTTCTTTTTCACTATATATCTATTCAATGTTTATCTATATGGTCTAAAACAGTGAGTATTTCTATTTAAACTAAATATGAACTGTATAAAAAATCAACACATTTTATCAAGCAGTGCTCGTTTTGATTTATGCTATTGAATAATTTTTTTTTTTAATTTAATCTTATTGTAGTTGAAAATGGTTGTATATAAACCTTTTGCAACATTTCAGACAGTTGGCTTATCCCATATTCGATTATAATAAATTAACACAGAACTATTTATATATTTATTTCTGATCTATATAATCAACAACTAGAATCATTGATCAATTAAGATTTAAATATGTAACCTGCTAATTTTCATTAAGTCTTCTTAGATTGGGCTAAGCATAACAGTAAATTTATAAAAACATTAAATAAACGGTATAAAATGACCCAGCTTAAATTATATCAATATATTTTTTAGTCTATTGTTCTATATTAAGAGTAATTAGTAAATAAAATTGCAAATAATAAGTTATTAATTATTATTTGTAAAATAAATATAATTATTTATTTTTACTCTTTTTTTTTTTTACTGATCACCCCCAACCATTCTTCTCTTCAATTATGTAAGATTTCCTAAGTAGAGAACTTTTGCTGAGTAATTAATGTTAAAAATAATTATAAATAAGTTAAATAAATATAAAAAAATATAAATAAAACCAGAATATATTTGACCTTTTTTTTTTTTAAGTTTAGAGTTTGTTTTCTTTTTCTATAATTTAACATAGAATAAATTTCATTCCGTATAATTAATCTCTATTAGTTTTATTATATCGTGAAAACCATAATGTCTGTGTTATATTATTCTTTAAATATATATTACCAACGTTTGTACTAAGAAATTTAATGAAAATACACTAATAAGAAATAATAAAAATCACATATATTATGACGTTATTAGATTATTTATAACGGTGCACTGATTCACTGCGGGCTATTATTAAAAATTAGTAAAGCAATCAAAGTAATTACACTAGTCAACGTTTACGATATAGTAGTGCAAGACGAAACAAAAACAATTACTGTTACCGATGGGATTCGTTATAAATTAGATATTAAAAAAATGGTGAATATCATTATTACTATAGGCAAAAAGGTAATTTGAGATATTGAAATGAAATTTTTTTATGAAAAAAATAATAAAGCATAACTCTTGTTAATAAAATGAAATGATTTTACAAAATTTTTGTAATGAAAAACAAATAAACAGAAAAATATTTTTTGCCAAGAATTTTATCATCATATGTTGTTTCCGTGTTGAACAAGAAAATCAATGAAAATAACGACGCAATTACATACTGATTAAAAAAAAAAAAATTCAAGCAACGAAATAAAGGAAACAGGCTGTAATCCAAAATCTTTTTGAGCATACGCTGATATTGTTGCTATAAAAAGGAAGAAAACTATATCTCAAAAATCCGATAACATTTCAAAAAATTCTTAGTTTCTTCTATCTTCATATCTATATTCAGGATTTAATATTTACCTTAATGGTCCTAAATCATTTGTAACAAGTGTTGTGTTGATGATCTTTTGAAGATGATACAGTTCTGGACATGGGGTGGGACCAAGAAGGGTTGAACTTTGCAGAGTACTTGCGCAAACGGCCTTCTTGGGGAGGGGCGGATCCTCTCTCTGGCAGATATAAAAGGCTAGGATCGCCTCTACACCCCAACTCACACACAGCACAGCAACACCAACATGAACTCCATCGTGAGTACTCCAATATGTCCATCAATATTATATATATATATATATATATATATATATATATATAATATATATATATATATATATATATATATATATATATATATATATATATATATATATATTTATATATATTACACTTGTAGGCATAGTCCGGGACATAGCACTTCTATTTCTTTTTAAAATCATTATCAACTGATTTTTGCAAAAATTCGAACAATACTTTTCGGTTTTTTGTTTCTCAAAACAAAAATTTAGTGAAATCATTTCGTTTTATTAACAAGGTTTATGCTTTACTATTTTTTTTCATAAAAGATTTTCATTGCAATATCTCAAATTACCTTTTTGCCTATAGTAATAATGATATTCACCCTTTTTTTATATCTAATTTATAACGAATCCCATCGGTAACAGTAATAGTTTTTGCTTCGTCTTGCAATACTATATCGTAAACATTGACTAGTGTAATTACTTTGACAGAAATATAGCACAATTGAACGATGTTTACTACCGAGCTTTGTTAATTATTATTAATAGCCCACAGTAAATCAGTACAAAGTTATAAATAAACTAATAACGTGATAATATAAATGGTTTCTATTATTTTTTATTAGTGTATTTTAATTAAATTCTTTAGTACAAACGTTGGTAATATATATTTAAAGAATAGTATAACATAGGCAGTATGGTTTTCACGATCTAATAAAACTAATGGATATTAATTATACGGAAAGAAATTTATTCTTTGTTAAATTTAAAAAAGCAAAAAACAAATTCTAAATTTTATTAAAGTTAGCGCACTTTAATGATATTGAGCCGCTGTTTAAAGTTGTAAAGATTGAATTATTAAATTTTCATTCATCAACAGCAATCAGCTTTAGAGATTTTATTTAAGGCAATTAGCCGACAAGGAAATGGTCCTCAATCTATTGTATAATAACGTACTTTCGACCAATCCTCTCCAATAAGCTGAGTTAGTTATCGCGTAACCATACCTTAAATAGAATCCATGAATTGGCCTAAGGAATACTCGGTAACGCTAGTAAATGATCGTATTAATATGCATTCCATAAGTAATAAAACTTATGATTTTCAAATTTGAAACAGTAATTTATAATTTCGATTACAAGTAAATGTTAAATAAATAATAAATTTGTCTTTAAGGTTGTATTGAGGATCTGGAGGGATGTTTTGTAGGATTGAGTCAAAGTTTTGATGGTTAGTATCTCGGCGTTGAACGGCGCACTCTCCAAGTTCTAACTTTTTAATATTAAATGAATATTTACCGTGGTACATTTATTTAATAGATGTATAAAATATGTATTGTTGTTGAAGCATTTTTTTATTTATAATCCTGAGGTGGATAGAAAAGTATTACTTAGACGTTTCAAATAACGATAATATGTATTGTAAAAAAAAAGAAAAACTTTTATTTTTTATTCTTTCAATTGTATAAATATATAAGTACTGATTGCTTGAGTAATAATGGTGATTAGAGAAAATGAATTAGACTTGATAGTTTTTACTTTCAGGATGTACAAGACAGATTTACGAAAGGTAGATCAATGATAGACATTAAAATACGACGTGTATAATATAATAATATTACTATTAATTTGTTTTTAATTAGGAATTTTTGAACATATCTATTCTTATTCCAGATTCTCGTATCTTTCCTCGCTTCCTGCGCCTATGGGGCACAGCTGAACTCTTACCTCCCCCCTAGGCCAGGAGCAGGAGCTGGAGTTGGTATCGTTTCTCCTCCAACTTACCCCGGTGCCGGTGGTGGTTCTGGTCCAGGAGGATACGCTCCTTCAGGACCTGTCATCCCCATCCTTTCCTACGAGAACAACCCTAACCAAGGAGATGGCCAGTACTCTTACAGGTGAGAACAATATTAACTTATTAGTAAAGCTGCGGTGGTTTCAGAAGTAGAGTTAACAATGGTCACAAGAAGCATTTTTCTTTCGGAAGAAAAATCCTATATGAGTAAAATCTTAGAATCTTATATGATAGGATTCTATTCCTGTTATTTATTCTCAAATTTTGAATTTTTATTTGAAAAACAAAACAAAAATAATACGAACGGGTATAAAATAAAGATCTCAAACAGACAGCTCATTTCATTTAAATATAACTAATCTTCTTTTATCCAGTTTCCGACATATAAATTTAAATAAATTCTATCCAAATAATTGCACGACTAAATAAAACTATAATATGAATACATCGATCAATCTTCGGATAAAAGATGATAGTACAACTGAATATGCCGGATGGTCTGACACACCACTGTATAAGTTAGTGGAATATTAATTTCTAGGACTGAATAGAGCTGGAGGTCATACTGATGCGCAACGGTTAAGAACAATTGAATTGGTGGGTTGCTAATATCGGGCGAAGGCAAGGGTAGAGAATAGATGAAGCCGTGTTATATTCCCCTTTCAATACTATTATATAATTTTAACTATAATTATATAAATCAAATGTTATTAAATATAAAAAAATTGATATAATTCAGAAATTTGATCAATTAAACTACAAACATTTTTTCAAACGGTAAATCCGTCATAGAGAAATAATGTATTTAGTGCGATTTTTTAAATTTATTTTTTCTTTAAAATTCATTCAATGGAGAAACTAATAGTTTGTCAATCATCTGTAAAACGAAAATAATGCAAAGGTATTCAACTATTGGATTGGAGCTTGGATAGTATCCAATCTCCGGATACTTATTACTGTGCAACCTATGTTGAGGCTGAAGACAATCGGAATCTTTACTTTCGGTTGGATAAAGCGTAAGAAAAACAACTTTATTACAAATTTTCTACACTTTTAAGTGACCGTTCTGAAGCGTTTTAATATATTTCAAGTGAAGTTGCACAGTAAAAAGAGAGTTTACGTTATTGGGACGCTACTCCAATATTCGAGGGTTATTGTACCACTAGATCGTTCGTGACATTAAAAGCTCAAGAAGTGAACGTCCAAAGAAATTGGAGCGGGCTTAATGTAATGTAGTCAAGGTTAGGACGCGGTCATCAATCCTTGTTCAGGATGTCAAAGTTGACAAAGGATGTCAGAGTAACTTCATAAGATAGTTTTGTTTACCGTTAGAGGAGCCTCTTACATAATTTCATTAATACTAAAATGCTGTCTAATGGCTGTGACCAAAATTTGATTATATTAATTAATATTAGTTTTTCTAAACTGTGAAAAGTTACGAAAAGAGTTGTGGATGAGTAAAAGAACAGAATCGCTTTAAAAAACTGGTATAATTTTGCTAGAGTTTAATATTCAAAGGCTCAAACAAAATAATCACTAAGCTCTTCGAAGAAAACAACTTACCTCGATTAAGAATCGATTAAAATGCACGCCAAGAAACCTTTTTAAGAATCCACGTCAATTATAGGGTTTTTCATTAATTTATTTATAAGCAACGTCTCGACTGTTAAAGTTTTTATTTCGTTTTTATGCAATCGATTAATACACATGTATATACCTACATTTATATAAAAATCATTTCAGAAAACAAAACTAAAAGATTTCTCAAATACACTAAACTAATTCCAGTCACACTTTTATTTCGTGTACTTACAATTCTATAATTCACTCAGGTAATGGAATTACGTAGCGCAAATAGCATAGGTAAACGCTTTACCCTTTCAATCTTTAGTTAAACTGCATTATAACTTATGAATGCATTCTTAATACCAAATTAGGAATATTTTACCATTGCACAATCTAGCGATCTAAATGATTGCTGTTGCATAAAGAGTTTTGAGGATGCTTCACATCTTTCGCAACCACCCTTTCTATGATCGAACACTTGTGGTTGTGTGTAAAAAATATATTATTCACTCCAATAGTATATGATATTGATTGGTTAAGGATGACGGGGCATTTTTGAACAATTAAATATTATTATTTTCTTACTTGATTACATGACATCATGAGAAGCATTGAGGCGGTTGTTACAGACGTTTGGAGTGAGTATTCACTACACTGCTGCCCGTAAGGATAGTTCAATCATCGATTAAAATTAATTAAATTTACATTCATACATCTACGTTTTAAGAACGAGATAACGATTAACGATCACAATTAATTGCTGTTGCACATGTTCAAATTATTTAAATGTTTCATTAGGAATTTCGCAAGGACAAGCTGACATTATGGTATATTCCCATTCTAGTTACCAAACCGGAAACGGCATCAACGCCCAAGAAAGCGGACGTGGAGGCCCAGGACCACAAGACGGAACATCCGCTCAAGGATCCTACTCTTACACCGGCCCTGATGGACAGGTATACACCATCACTTACACCGCTGATGCCAATGGATTCGTGCCCCAGGGTGCTCATCTCCCAACTCCACCACCAATCCCAGAGGAAATCCTCAAGTAAGTAAATTTAAACGTTCCTTTTCGTAAAAACTATAAAAAAATCTATTTATTTCATTGTTCTTGTTCAGATTTCTTTCCAGATTTCCGTAGCTTTCTATTCTTGAAAGGCAATTTAATGATCAACGATTCATAATCCACAAAATAGTTTATATATCTATGTATTTTCACATCAACTAAACTCAATAATTGCACCAAAAACACTGTTCATGCAATACAAAATATCATATCCATCATTCTATTTCTTCCACGATTGTATACTAACCATTCTGTATCACCCCAGGTCCCTCCAGTACAACGCCGCCAACCCACAGTCCGAGTACAACACCGGTGACTACAACACTGGAGCTGGAACTGGAGGCTACAGGCCATCCTTCCCCGGTGGTAGGCCCGCTCCATCCTACAACCCATCCTCTGGATACCATTACAGGAAGTGATCAACGACAACGTATACGACAAACGTGCCAACAAAAACCATTTACCTAGGATAAGTCCATGTGATACTCATTTATTGTATATAATCATGTCATATTAAACAATTTTTATACTTATATAAATAAATATCAAGTGCAATAAAGCAATTATTTGTATACGCATTGAGTTTCATTCACAAAATCCTTTCTTCAACTCTTTTTTTACATATGACTTTTAATGAGAAACAAAGAAAGCATCGGAATCATCTGTTTGAAGTATTTAGTTCAATTAGATATATATATATTTTTTTTTTTACAAAGATTTTTCTTACATATTTATTTAAGTTTTGTTCTCAATTTCAGTTTTTATTTTACTAATATCTGGTATACTTTTTGTAAATTTCATACATCAACGTTGATATATAATTAATATTATTTCAAAAAGAATTTATAATCTAAATTGAAAATTTTCATTCTAATTTTCATTATTTATTAAGTATTATAATAGTGGATTTAGAATCCCACAAATTATTCGTTTTCAGTTCTATCTATTTATTATTTATATTTATTTCAGTTCTATTTATATTTATATTTATTATTTCAAACTCCTATAATGGAGTTTTATATACTACAAATGACCACCAAAAACATCTTGACGACTTTATATACTTTTTAATGTAATTATGTATTGTTTATTACTCTGGTTTTCAGTGGTTTTAATTTTAACTACAGTTTGACTACGACTAGTTGGCTGCCTGAGAGGGAACCACTGCGGCAAAAAGGGGAAACTAACTTTTTGTTCCATAGGCTATTTTCTTCTATTATGTTTTCTAATGGTTTTATCCTCAAATTGCTTCTTATTTTCGAGTTTCTGATTTTGTCGATTCTGATTCCTCTTTATTTTATCCTCTATTTTTTAAAGAGACAGAATTGCCATATAGTGGAGTTGGCTTATATATTTTTAATTAATAAACCAGAATTCACTGGCAATGAGCATGGAGATGAATGTATATTTAAACACAGTTTTCTTCACCTTTGTGGATACTTGTTTCTTTCCCAAAAAGACTAATTTCATTGATTGGGAGCGTTTCCTGGCCACCTACCCATCCGTTTTCATTAAATGGATTCATAAATATTTGTAGCCTCTTACATCCATCTCAGTCTCTCCTCTCTTCTCCACTCTCTATTTTCTATTCTTTTTTTGTTGCAGTTTGACTCCTTATTGAACAAATGTAATTCTTAATGCGGTATTTGGAGATAGTATACGCAGTTTCTTACATTGTTCTCGAATACAATAATTTCGTCTGCATATGCCAGGAGCATGAGTAAATTGGTCTCTTTCTCGCCTTAGCACTCTTCAGTGCCACGTTTAAATAGATTATAAACAATCATGAAGTAAAACTATAGCCCTTTTTTTTCTTCTTTTTTTTTTGGGTCTTCCCCTTCCTCGCCGTCAAAGCTATACGGATTTTTCCCGGGCCAGGGAGTGTGGGCAAGGATTTAAAAGACTCCCACGGCACCTGGACGCGAACTCCTGACTATTTTATATCATTTGATTGATATATCAGGTTGCCGGCAGCGGCGGTGCTGTGCACACGCGTTAGCCCATTCGGCTACCACGCCCACAAAAAAAAAAAAAACTACACCCCATCTTATTCCTTGGATGCTCTAAAACTCCTTTGGTGTATGGTTTTCACCACGTTTATTTGCTTTTTATAAAACTGAGAAGAGCCCCGTTTAGGCCTGGATCAACTTCCTTTTCATTCACGGCTATGACTGTGTCCATCTTCCATGCTCTATCTAATACTTGGGTTAGGTCCACGAAACTTGCATAAATCTCCTTGTTATTTTCTGATGACATGTCATCAGAAAGCTTTTGTAGGAGAAGAGGGCGAGAGAATTCTGGCGAGCTAAAATTTCCAGCGAGTATCTGGAATGGTAATATTTTTCCATCTAACATCGGTCATCAGGTTGCCGGACAACGCTCCGCCACACCGCCCTCTGGGTCATCAAACAACTGTCTCATTTCAAAAATTAAACCCGGGAGCTTCTTTTTGGTCAAAAAGCCTATTTTATCTCTTAAAGAGCCCTCTCGATGAATCCCATTAAAGTACAACTTGCATGATACACTAATTAGTGTTAAGCCTATGTGGTTTCGACAGTCCTTGTAATCCCCCTTTTTGTGTTTCGTTACAATAACAGAAGTCTTCTTTTCTTCATGATAACTTCTTTTGTTTTCCATATTAAATTCAGGAGATGCTGGAATAGTTCCAGAACTTTTATTTCCATATTCTACTTCATTCAATAGGTGATATCATCTAACCTGATGTATGTTCGTTTTCAGGCTATCTGTTAATTTATTATTTTATCTTATTCATCCTCGTCAGGATTGATATTGCAGGCCATGTTTTCTTTTGTCGTTGCCATTTCTCTCGTATTGTCATTCTGCATATACTCACAATACTCTGGTCATTTGTTCATTACGCTCTTTATATATATAAGAATATTCCCTTTGTCTTCTTTAATATTTTTTATGACGGGTTCCTTTTCTTTCCGCATATTTATTAGACATCTTATATAGTCCTCCATCGTTTAGTCTGATGCTACGGTTTCCAGAAATCCTTATTTCGTTTTGTTTTTCTTTTCACTTTTACTTTCCACTAGACTGTTCTTTCCAATCTTTGGCCTATAGTAGTTATTCCACTTAACTCCTCTGCTGCTTTTAGAAATATTTGCATAATTGAAAGTACATATTGAAATTTTAGTCTTCTTATTTGCATATGAATATATCTTGTCATCTATCTGATAACTGTTTCATGTGATACAAAATATTTATAGAACAGACTTATGTAATGTACTTGTTACGGAGTATTTAAAATCTGTAGACAAGCTTTGTTTGATGACCTGATGAATATTTTTAGCATTTTGCATCATTTTACTCAAATTACTATCATATAATTTTAAAGTTTACGCTTCAAAAATACGAGCTCCCTTCCAAAATTCTGGAGATTGTTCATTATTGCTATCTTTTGATCTTTATTTTAATTTTAAGTATCACAAGTTTAGTGAAAGATGGTTATATGTTAAAATAACTTTTACATAATTTCTAAATATGAGAAACTAGCCACAATAGTCTGTCGGACGGAATCTGTTTTTTCAACATTATTCCAACAGATTAAATCAGTGCAGCAGAAATACGTCATGGCGTGCTAAGGAGAACCCGCTTCTGAAGGTAAAATGTTATGTAGATTGTATGTATGTATATAATTGTTTCTTACCTACATAGTATTATAAGTTTAAGTAATATAAATATAATGTAATTTCTTAACATATAATACGTGATAATTTAATAACATATAATATAATTCTTAACATTAATTGTGAATTAAAAAAAAAAAAATTGTTACGGTTCATCACACAACTTCCATTTACCAATTTACTTTCAGTAGAACTTTAATTTTATACTTTCGCTTCCCTATATATGTAAGATATAGTAAAGTGAAGTTTGAGATCTTGAAAATTTTCGAATTTGTTTTCATCGGAAATGTACGTTTTGAGACCTCTGTGAAGTTGCCCCTACCCAACCTCAACTTTTTAAAAAAATTTTGAGAGTTCTTATAGCCCCCAAAAGAGTTCTAGAGTTCCCTATACTTTTTAGAAATAGTTCTATTGTTTAAACCACCGAAAATACCATCCAAAGTTGCGAAAAACGGAAATCCCGTTTTGTGCAACTTACGAGTCTTATAACACTTTTAATATTAATTTTAGAGCTAAACTTCAAAGGGATAATTGTAACAATTCCTTGAGGAGCTATCAAAACTCTAAAAAAAAATTTAAATATAGTCCCCCTAAAAAGCGGCCTCGCAAAAATGGAAATTTCTAAATTATTTTTTGGATTTTAATAGCCTCCCAAATAGTTACAGAGTTCTCTGGTATTTAAAAAAATTATATTGTTTAAACAACCGAAAATACCACGCAAAGTTACGAAAAAATGAAATTCCGTTTTGTGAAATTTACGAGTCTTATAACTGCTTTCATATTAATTTTAGTGCAGAACATCATGAGGATAATTGTGAAAACTCATTGGGGAGCTATTAAAAATCTAAAATAAGAATTTAGAAAAGCTCCCCCAAAAAAGCGCCCCCCGAAAGTGAAAATTTTTAAATTATTTTTGGAGTTCTAATAGCCCCCCAAATAGTTCCAGAGTTCTCTGGTATTTAAAAAAAATTTATATTCTTTAAACTACCAAAAATACCATGAAAAGTTATGAAAAACTGAAATCCCGTCTTGTGGAACTTACGAGACTTATAACTCTTTAATTATTAATTTTAGAACTAAAGTTCATTGAGATAACTATTACAACACTTAGGGGGGGCCATAGGAAAACTCATCAGAACTCCGGAATATTAATATTATATTAATAATTTATGGAACTTAATTCTTTTATAGTATTAAATGGCCGAACTCCAAGTGATATAACTGGTAATTATACTTTTTGTAGCACTAATGGATCGAGTGTCGTGGATTTTGTCTGGCCTAAAATCGGTGGCTTAGAATTGATATGTGATTTTGGAGTTAAGCAAATTATATTCAGTTATGATCATTTCAATTATTTGAATAAATCTTGGTGTGATAATGAATGCAGGGCACTTAAGACTGAACTGAAGAATTGTTTCTGTATATGTAAGAAAAATAATTTTTGGGGTAATTAAATAATTTAAATTTAAAAAACAATATAGAAATTTTGTGTAGATGAAAAAAATACAACTAACGATAGTTCAACTTTTTGGGGCATTATAAAACGTTTTAGGGACAGCACCATCTGCAGATCGAGCATTTCCATAGAAGCACACACATGGATTTTTGAAACGGGAGGAGAAAAATCTTTGTCTATTTAATTAGGTACTAAAAACTCGTAAATACCCATTTGGTTTCTATTTGGTTCGTAATATAATATGACCCCGAAATCGATAAAAAAAAGTGGCCTGCAAAAATATTGGGCTATTTGTCCTTTATAACATTGTTATTTTGAAAATTTGTGGGTGTAGATCACGCCAAACGGCTCAATATCAATAAGGTCATCTTTTTTCTCGATTTTTTGATCAAATTATCTTACGATCCAAGTAGGAAGCAAACGTGCATTTACGAGTTTTTAGTACCTAATTAAATAGACAAAGTTTGCCCCCTTCCACATTGCAAACGCCCCAATTTCAAGAGTTTTCGTAAATAGAATAGTTGTAGATTGTGATGAATTGAAATTATTT